AGCCATGTTGACATGGCTTTTTATATAATGAAACAAAACTTACTTACATCGAATATTTCTTTAGAATTAGGGAAGGCTAACATATGTCAATGTTTGGACTTTTTTTTTTCCTTTTAAATATAGCTTTACTTTTTTTTTAAACTATTGGATCATTAAGGTTGTTGGCACCACTAGAAGAAATTTTATTAAAAAATACATTAAATTAATAAATTAAATCAAATAATATTAATAAATACAATACATTAAAAAATACTTTAAAATGTAAGACCCCAAGTGATTATAATAAAGCAGTAAAAAATAGAGAAACTGAAATATGTTCATTACTACTTGGCTATTTTATTAGTTTTTCCAAAATAATCAAACTAATATCAGAAAATAATATTATAGACATTTTAAACTCCATGGTCATGAATACTTGTGTCCATTTTTTTTGTGGCCCTTGGGAAATAACTGAAAACAGCTTTACTCACTAAAGACATTTTTTCTAATTCTTCATTATTCATATTGACATTCAGGCATATTAATTTTCTTCAGTAAGCATTTTAAATACAATACAAAAAGAATTAGCTTTAACCTTTCAACTACACACTTGCCTTTGAATGAAGCCAGTGATCCGACCTCAGGGCCCTCCTAGTGTTGCTCTGGCATTTTCAGTAAATTGACTGCAATATCTCTTTATTTTCAGGTTAACTCTACTTTTTCTTTTGTTAAAAAAAAAATAAAAATAAACGAAGAAATTGCTCTCCCCTTTGAGTTCTTTGCCCCAAATAACATAACAGTAAGCTAAATGGGGCCACCTACATTTAAGTAGTCTAAGAATTGAATTCATAGCTAAAGATTTGCTGAATAATTTTTGGTATATTTCATAGTATCTCAGATAATAAAACCTAACTGTCATTTCATAATTTGATTAATAATTTATATACCTTTTGAAAAAATATAGAATTGACATATTCCTTTCTTTCTCTCTCTCTCTTTTTTTTTTTTTTTGGCTAGGCAATTGGGGTTAAGTGACTTGACCAAGGTCACACAGCTAGTAAGTGTCAAGTGTCTGAGGCTGGATTTGAACTCATGTCCTCCTGACTCCAGGGCAGGTTCTCTGTCCCCTGCGTCACCTAGCTGCCCTGAATTGACATATTTCTGAAAGGCCTTGACAGCACTACCAAAAGAATCCTGTCAGTGGTACCAAGTGTGACACACTTTTCATGAAAGGGCAGACTTTTCTGATCCACCCCAAGAATACAATATTCTGTAAGCCAGAGGCTCTAATAATCAAAGTGCTGGACTGAATGACAGATTGTTGCATCTCTTTCTCTAATTATACTAGGTAAATAATCACCCCTTTTTGAATTTTCCCATTTTTAATTGGAAATTATAATTTCACCTTATTGTAATGATGTTACACAGTTAGCTCAAGAATCTGGCGGGGGGAATAGTATAATAATTATAACTGGCAGGTTTATAATGCTCTTTGGTTTGCAAAATCCCAGAATTACTTCATTTGACCCTCACAATACTATGAGATAGATACTACAGAAAGTATCCCCATTTTATAAATGAGGAAACTGAGAAAGGCTGTGACTTTTACTCATAGTCACTCAGCTGTTGTCTAAGGCAGGATTCAAACACTGTTCTGTCCTGATAGTTAATATAGTGCTCTTTGTGTCAAACTATGCTCCCCTCCCCAGTATAATATATGAAAGTTCTTTGAAAAAAATATTTGAATCATAATAGTTACATGTTATTAGTAATCCGCACATCGTTGTTGTTTTTCAGTCGTGTCTAATTCTTCATATCCCCATTTGGGGTCTTCTTGGCAAAAATACTGAAGTGGTTCGCCATTTCCTTCTCCAGCTCAGATGAGGAAACTGAGGCACATTGGGTTAAGTGACTTGCCCAGGGTCACACAGCTAGTAAGTGTCTGAGGCCAGATTTGAACTCAGGAAGATGAGTCTTCCTAACTCCGGACCCAGCACCCTGTCCACTGCACCACCTGGTTGCCCACACATCCTTAAGATTCCTTTATTAGCCACCTGGGTTTTATGAATGAATTTATTGAGAGTTTATGACCCTTCATATGATAGTAGTATAGACTGGAGTAGTTTAGAGAACAATTATACATTGCAATGTACTTAACCAATATAGACATAGATTTGCTATATGTCTGAGATTAGACCTTGCCAAATTCTAACCTTGAATTTCCCTCACGGTCAGCCTCTTCCATTGATACTTCAGAAATGGAGAAAGTTATGCAACTTTGCTGACTCTGTACCTACAAATTTATGTCATCTAATCTCCACTGGGTCATCACCAAAGCAAGACACTGTTCTTGGCTGTGGAGGCCTCAGTCACCTCTCTTGTAATCAAAAATAGAAAGTAATATATTATTAATTAAATGGAGCTTTTTGGAAGCTGTTTTCATTTCATATAGGGATCTCTCGAAAGGTTCCTAGAATCTGCTCTAACCCTACCATTTTACAAATGAGAAAGCTAAGGCCCAAAGAGGCTAAGTGATTTGTCCAAGGTCACATAACTTCATTAGTAGAAAGCCCAGTTTTCCTGAAGTAGTGACCCATGCTTTTTTGATTTTCCTGTACTGCCTCTTTTCTTGCCCACATTTTAACATTTTATATTTGCCCTATATATGTCTGACTTGTGCATATCCTAGGAATTTTAGAATAATTGTCTTAATAATTTTGTTATTCCTATTAAAAATGACATGAGGACTCTCACCTGTCTTTTCTATCTTCCTCTTAACCTCCTCTTACCTTTTCTCTCCTTCTTTTACCTTCTTACGGCAGAATTCTTGGTTTACAATAAATTCTCCACATTTATTCAGAGTTAAAAGAATTTTTTAAAATGTGGTTAAAATTGGTTAAAGTTTGGCTAAAATTTTAAAATTGGTTAAAATTTTTTTTTTAAATCAACCTTTCTTACATGAATTATGTGAGTCAGACTGGCCTTTGACCATATATGCTCAGAGTGATTTTTAAAAACCATTTATTAAGTGCTTAAAATGTGCCAGGCACTTTACATAATCTTACAGTTGAGAAAACTGAGGTGGACAGAAGTGACTTACCCAGGGTCACATAGCTTGGAAGTGTTTGAGGCTAGATTTGAAGTCGGTTTTCCCCGACTTCCAAGCCCAGCAACCTCTACGTGGGGCTACCTTGATGCCTCTATTTACTCTATCATGAGGACAATGTGAAATGTGAAAAAATGAGCAAAACTGATGTTTTTACATACTCTGTTCACATGGTACCAGATGAAAAGACTACTGTAATTTTAATTGACCAAAATATGACTGATATGGAAATGGGCAGTATCCACAGGAAACCAAAAACTATTGTTCTACTTTCCCAGCCCCCACCTTGGGACCTAGGAGTTAGAGAGATAGAAGGTAAATCATTTCTCCCCTCTAGAAGTTTACAATGTAGGAGAGGAGATGAAAAAAAAATCTATGTACACAAATAACTGTGCTTTAAGCTAAGTGTATAATGATCACATGAACAACACAAAAATAGGTCTTACAGAAATTCAGAGAAAGGAGAAATTACGTCTAATTATGGTTATCAGGCTTTATAGAGGTGAGATTTAGGTTGGCCTCTGACAGATAAGTATGATTTTTATATACAAAGAAAAGGGCAGACAAGAAGAGAAATGTGAGCAAAGCCTAAAGTTAAAAAAACATGAAGGGGGCAGCTAGGTGGCACAGTGGATAGAGCTCTGGCTTTGAAGTCAGGAAGACCTGAGTTCAAATGCGGCCTTAGACCAAACACTTGACACTAGCTATGTGACCCTGGGCAAGTCACTTAACCCCAATTGCCTCACCAAAAAGCAAAACAAAACAAAACAAAAAAAAAAAACAGATGAAGATGGTTCTTGGCATAGCAAGTAAATAATTTTAGCTAGAGTGGGCACTTTGTGTGCTAGATTAGTGGGAAATATAGCTAGGTAAGTAGATTAGGGCCAGATTCAAGGGTGCTTTGAATGCCTTTTTTATTTCAATAAATATGTAACAAATTTATTAAGAAGAGCAGCACTTAAGAAAGACTTGGTAGTAGTCAGCCACACACATTTTCAATCTGAGAACAGAAATTAAGGCTGAAACTGATAATGAGATTTTAGGTGAATTGTGGTAACAATATTAGAAATAAACATTGAAATTTTATTTACTTCAAATATGTTGCATCATTTCAGTAGCTACTTATCAAGCATTTATTCCTGGCAAATTTTAAAATGTATCTTTTTTGCACAATATGTAGTTACTTAAAGTTCATGTCCCCATTTTTTTAATGTCCTCAAAATCTTGCATTTGAATTACTCCTGGGATCTGGGAGTAGTTCTGAAGTTACCAGGTTAAAGTTAAAAGAGGAAGGTTCTTTTTTTTTTTTTAAGGTCTATTTGTGTTGAATTAAGACAGCAGAAAAGAATTATTTCTTTTTCTTTGAAGGAATCAAATTTTGTTGTTAAATGTTAACATGCTCTTTTTTGTTGTTGTTCAGTAATTTCAATCCTGTTAGACTCTTTGTGACCCCATTTAGGTCTTGGAGAAGAGACTGGAGTGGTTTGCCATTTCTTTCTCCAGTTCATTTGACAGATGAGGAAACTGAGGCAAACAATTCAAGTGACTTCTCCAAAGTCAGACAGCTATTAAATATCTGAGGCCAAAGTTGTACTCGGTTCTTCCTGACTCCAGGCCCCAGCCTATCCACCACGCCACCTAGCTGCCCTTTTACTCTTCTTCAGGCCAGGCTTTTATAACATCTTTAGTTACAAATACTGAAAGAATGTTTTGTTTGGACTCAGAAGCATTTAGCAAGGTGTCAGCAATTACTTTAATTGAGTTCCTATCTTTTTGCTTCCCTGTTTTTATTTAGGTGATAATTTTATTTTTAGTACCATTTGAAAGCTTCATGGTTACATAATTATTTTAAACTACTATATGTCCTATGAAGGAATTTTAATCTTAATGTAGGTATTCTGTTTATTTCTTAAAGAATTTTCTTCAGGAGACACTGCAACAGTAATGCAAGAAAAGATCATTAGTATCTCTACACATGCTGGTGGTGAGGAAGATTCTGCTGAATCCAATGCTCGTTATCAACCAAAGGAGCCTCAACAAGTTTTGCAGTCCCTCCTCTCCCTCATCCGAGGTGAATTTGAACAATTGGATTCAAGAGTTCTGCCCCTTTGCCTTCATCAGGTACCCACTCCAATTCACATTCTGTGATATACTGCCAACCCTCAACTAAACGGAAGGGTGGGAATGGGATCCAAAATTCATTTTTATGTATTGTCACTTGCATGCCTTTCACTCCTTGCCCATTCGTAGTCCTAGAATTGCACTGATTTTATGAGAGGTGACTTTCAATTAGTGGAAAGTGGAGAATCTAGCCCTGTACCGGCATATCTAGTGGTTTAGGGGAAGAAAGAATCAGAGAGGGAACAGATGACCCAAGTCACAGGGATAATCAATAATTCAATCCAAGTCTGTTTTTATACAGCAATTAAACATACGGTTAGACACAGTGAATGCTTTTGGTGGGATTATAGCTGATAGACCTAATGAATATTTCATCAAAATTGTCATCGTCTTACAATGCAGAAACTTGGTATTTCTACCACATCTCCTTTTGATTGTCTATGATATCAATTGCTAACAACCATAGAAAGTACTTTATTTTATATTCTTTCTGGTTTTACTTTCCTCCCTTCCCTAACTTGACCCTAGGTTAAACAATTCACATCTTCACTCCCTCTCATGCCTTGCCAAACTCCAGCCATAGGTTGCTTCCACTATCTGCTTCTTCCATTCTACTCAGGTGCTACCTGCACTTTGGGCGAGTCTTATATGGCATACTTTCAGGAAGACTTGGGTGATAATTGCATAGAATGAGAAGGCATGATGGAAGGAATATTCACACTGAGATTTTATGAATGCGCATCTTGAATATGCATTATCTTTCATATAGTAGTGTATTTCATCAAGCATATACTATCTTAAAAATAGTATGGCTTTAAGCTTTAGTATAACAGAAATGCAAAGAAAGCATTAAGCCCTATATCCTATATTTGTCAAGCCTTTAAAAGCGTTTGATGCTATCAGCAGGCCTATACTTTGGCAGGAAAAAAAAAGAATATTCTTTCCCAGAAAACTTGACCAATATCCCAAAGCTCCTATGAGATTCCTTGGTTGATTGTGACAGAATGGATGCCCATTTTCTGTCCTCGGGTAAGAACAGTAGTTTTGAAAGAACAGGGTGAAACTACTGTCCTCAGGAAGTGCAGTTTTCAGCCACCGTTCTGCTTCAGCTGACAGTCCTGAACAACCTACTCTTCTCATTTCAGGCATATTGGGAATGTAACCCTGCTGGACCTAGTATGTAGACCTGTGTTAGAAGTAATTAATTATGCAAAAAGTTAGAGTATTTTCTAATTACCTTTTTCAAACTACTTCCTCTCCTAGAAATATTTTTGCCTGAAGATTTGGTCCACTGGACTATCCTTCTATCCTCACCATGATTATTTGGGCTACTTGATGAGATTCCATTGTAGTTTAAAAATGCAGAGAGAATCTATAAGGGAAATTTTGGCTCTCCACAAAACTCTGTAAGGGTTATGAATATCATCAAAAACTCTTTAAGAGAATCATCCATGAACTGCTTTTGCAAAAAACATACCTTGAGCAGTTTCACCATGCAAAGTCCTATGTGGAAGTAGGAACTGTGAAGGGTGGTGGAAAGATATACCAGTAAGGTATGGCCCTACCCTCTAGGAGCAGTAATCTAATAGGAACAGCAATAAACATGTATACAAATATATAGAATACAAAATAGAGTATGAATGAGGAGTTATATTCTATCCAAAGGAGAGATTACTTCTAAGTAAGGAAATAAGTGATTTCAACCCATAAAAATGGGCATGGCAAATGAAAGGAACATCAATCAATAAACATTTTTTAAGTACCTACTACATGCCAGGCACTGTGCTAAATATTGGGGATACAAAAAGAGAGGATAGACAGTCCCTACCCTCAAGGACCTCAGAATTAATAGGAGAGGCAACATGCAAACAAATATACACAAAGCAAGCTATATACAGGATAAATAGGGAATAATTAACAAAGGGAAGGCACTGGAATTAAGAGGAGTTAGGAAATGCTTCCTGTAGAAGGTGGGATTTTTTTTTTCAGGGTTAAGTGACTTGCCCAAGGTCACACAGCTAGTACATGTCAAGTGTTTGGTCTGAGGTCGGATTTGAACTCAGGTCCTGCTGACTTCAGGGCTGGTGCTCTATCCACTGCGCCACCTAGCTGCCCCAAGAAGGTGGGATGTTAGTTGGGACTTAAAGAAGGTCAGTAGTGATAGTAAAAGAGAGAATATTCCAGGCATAGGGGACAACCAGAGGAAGTGCCTGGAACTGAAAAGTGGAGATCTTGTTTAGGGAACAGCCAAGAGGCAAGTGTCACTAAGTTGAAGAGTATGTGGTGGGGGAGTAAGGTGAAAGAAGACTGGAAAGGTAGGAGGGGGCTAGGTTATAAAAGGCTTTGAATGGTAAACAGCATTTTGTATTTGATCTTGCAGGCAACAGAAGGCCACTGGTGTTTATTGGGAGGGGTGGTGGGGTGGGAAAATTTGACATGTTTGGACCTGCATTTTAGAAAAATCATGTTAGTGGCTAAATGGAGGATGCATTGGAGTGGGGAGAGACTAGAGGCAGGCTGACACACCAGCAGGCTATTGCAGTAATCCATGTATGAGGTGACGAGGGCCTGTGTTAGAGTGGGGGCAGTGTCAGAGGAGAGAAGAAGGCATATTCGAGAGATGTTGCGAAGTTGAAATCAACACACCTTGCTTGGCAACAGATTGGAAATGAGGGATGAGAGATAGTGAGGAGTCCAGGATGATTCCTAGGGTATGAATCCAAGGGACTGGAAGGATGGTGCTGCCCTCAAAAGTAATAGGGAAGGTGGGAGGTGGGGAGGATTTAAGAGGAAGGATAGTGATTTCTGTTTGGGGCATAATTGAGTTTAAGCTGTCTACTGGACATCCAGTTCAAGATGTTTGAAAGGCAGTTGGAGTTGTAAGATTTCAGGTCAGGGGAGAAGTGGAACAGGAAAGGTAGATTTGAAAATTATCATCATAAAGATGGTAATTAAATCCATGGAAACTGATGAGATTATCAAGTAAAGCAGTATAGAGAGAGAAGAGAGGAGGGCCAGAAAGGACAGAACTCTGAGGGACACCTATAGTGAGAGGGCATGATCGGGAGGAGGATCAAGCAAAGGATGCAGAGAAGAAGTGGTCGGATAAGTAGGAGGAAAACCAAAAGAGGAGGGAATGTCCTAAAAACCAGGGAGGAGAGAATAAGGTTGAGTGATTTGCCTGTAGTCTTGTGGTCTTAGAACAGTAACTGTCGATGGCAGAATTTAAACTAAGTATTTCTGACACTTAGTTCACTTATTCTCTTAATCCTACCACACTGCCAAACTAAGAAATGTAGGCTTTGTTGGAAAGGCAGTAGGAATTCATTAAGGTTTTTAAAGTTTGATGATGGTCTATAAAGACACATAAATATAGGTTTATATGCTGCTTTGCTTTGAGGATTTGGCAATTTCACAGCGTGACAAGCAAAACAGAATTATGTACCATCTCACCTATATTAGTGAGATTCACAGAGAAAGATTTGCACTGGAAATACTTAGCTGGAAAATTGTCATAGACTATGAAAACATGATGTCAAGCTCCAAACCATCTTTATGACTTGAGGAAGATTAGGGTCAGTATAATACTTTGATATTTTAATAGATTCATGATCTGTTCTATATAGGTATTTCCTCCACTGCTACAAACTGTAAAACAGCCACACTTTCTCATGTTGTGTGATTCCTCCTATATAAATCATCCATAAGGGAGCCATTCATCATGTTGGAGGTCTTTATCTAGGTCTTTTAATCATCATTCACAAACATTTTTTTAAGTTATGTTATATTCCTTTATCTGCTTTTCAAAATTTTCAAGATCTAAGTGAGAATGACCTTTTGAGTTAACTAATCCATTTAGACTTCATTTCCTTTTCATTCCCACTACTTACACGGTAAGCAAGTAATTTAAAACCCCTCCGTTTCCCCATCTATATAATGGGAGAGGTAATGTAGATATGGGCCATCTATCTTACTAGGCATCTAGGTTAAAGGTCTTCCATGAACAGCTATACTAAGCAAAATGGACCAATTATGCAGATATTCATTATGGCATGCTTTGGAGAAATGACTTGTATAAACAAAACTACTACGCTTACAGTAAAAAAAAATCTCCTTCCATGAAGGGCCTAAAGTAATTCATGAAAGCTCAGCCTCCATCCAAATTCATTTCTAAAACATTGATAGTTGTGCAAGTCTTTGCCTTTTTAAAAGTAGTTCCATGAAGTCTTCAGTAATTTATGAAATGAATGCTTGGAATAAATGTTTACTGAATTTATTCAAATATAGTTTTAGGATCTCATCTGATGGAACACATCTTTGTTCTAAAATAAAAAATTTTTCAGAGTCTCACTGTGAAGGTAGATAGTCACTTTACATTTTCTGGAGCTTTTAATCCTTAAACTTGTGTTAATCTGGGAAGTTATCTTTGACTTGAGACTATAACAGGAAGAGAAGAAACTTGTTAATGGGATGAATGGGTTTCCTTGGGATAAATAGATCTAGGATACTCCATCCTGATAGTTTAATGTAATTACCAACTTCACTAATGAAAATGAAGCTAAATAAGGGTCTCTTTCTCTCTGATTTCTAAATAGGTTGAAGGTCCCAACCTTGCATTCTAAGTCTTTCTCACCAGTAAAATGCTAATCTCTGTCTGTTGTTTTAAACAGATCGCAGAGACCTATTTTCAAGAAGAAGACTGTATCCTTTTCTATTCACAATTGCATGAGTTTTTAAAGAATTATCACCAAGTGGCTGATGGAACCCACTTCAAAATTTGGCATGCTTTATAACTAACATATAGCTTTGGATATATGCACTTTTTTTGGTTCCAGAGGATAAAACCAAGAACATTAAGTGGAAGCTGCAAAGAAATAAACTTAGGTTTGATAGCATTGGGGGAACGGAAAAAAAAATAAGCACTCATATAGTGCCTGCTGTGTGCCAAGGGACTGTAGTAATCACTTTACAGATATCTGATTTGATCCTCACAATAACCCTGGTGGCAGGTGCTGTTATTATCTTTATTTTACAGTTGAGGAAACTGAGGCAAACAAGTTAAATGACTTGTCCAGGGTCACAGGGCTAGTAAGTGTCTGAGAAAAAATTTCAACTCAGGTCTTCCTGACTCCAGGCCCAGATCTCTGTATACTGTGCCATCTAGCTGCCTTATCAGAAAGAAAAAAACAAAAACAAAACCAAGAACTTTCCCAAAATTAGAGATTTCTAGAAGTGAGTTGGGCTGTCTCATGAAGTTTCACCTTCATGAGTTTCCCCTCCTTAGAATTCTTCATGCAAAGACTGGATGACCACTTGCTGAGTATCTTAACGTATGATGAGTATTCCTTTCTGGTTAGGAGTTGGACCAGATGACCTGTGAGGTACCGTCCAACTTTGAAATTCTGTGATTTTTGTGGATCTATTCTCAATTTCCATCATTCTCTCATATTATAAAATACCTTCATATAGTCTGCATAAAAATTGGCTCTGTAAGGGCAGACAGGAAACTTAAGGTCTGAATGAGTTTCAAAATAGTAAAGCTATCTCATTTTAGGCAAACATTCTTTTTGACAAAACTAAAGCGTCTCTCAGAATTTATTCAGCATAAATGTACATACAGACATTTCTTTTGGTCTGCGTTTGTATTTTTCTCAAATCCTCCATTCAGATGAGAAGGCAATGAAATTCATTCAGCTTGAACGACTATATCATGAACAGTTGCTTGCAAATCTGTCCTCTATTCAGGAGCAGTGGGGTAAGTACAGTTTGATTAAGAAAAAAGAATTCTCATTAGATAAAAGCTTGAGAAATTTGTTCTGGTTTTCTAAGTCAAAGGTTATATATTGTCCCAGCCAATTCAGTGTTGCAAAAAATAAAAAAGAAAGTAGCATTTTTACTACAACTTCTTAACCTATTGTGAGAACATTTCCTCTCCTTTGGATTTTTGCTTTTGATATGATTACTTGGAAAAGAACACTTTTTTCTCCTTTCTTTTCGCTGATTGCTTTGCATGACCAAGTGGCATTCAGTTTTCTCTTTTTTAAAACCTAGAATGTTATTTAGTGTCTTAAAAAAAAAAGAAACAGTTGCTTTCTTGTGACATTAGAGTTTAATCTCTATCACCTCTCTTAGTGATGAATCGCTATTTCATTTGTTCAAAAATTTAATGGACTTTGGTACTAGTTATCATCGGTGCCAGCTCGCTAACTTTTACTTCCTAAAATAGTTTATTAGCACACAGTGGCTAACAGTGTTTTGTTTTTCTTCCACTTAGAAGCAAAGTGGAAAACAGCAGAACCACGTGTAGTTACATCTCTGAGGAATTCAGAAAAGGGATTGAATGGTGAAGAACTTGACAGACTTGCTACACTTTGCACAACACATCAAGAGTGAGTGTAAAAGCTTTGGTTAACCTGCACGGGGGAGTGCTGGAGAACCTCATCGGCATCTGGCATCTAATACTAGCAAAGACCCATTTAAAAATTAAGTTGTCATTCTCACCAAGAGGATTCAAAACTACTCATAACACAGTTACACTTTCATTCTCAAAATAATGACTTTTTTTTTCTCTTATCATTGAGAATGACTGGAAGAGTGAACTAATAATCTCTTTATTATATTTGATGTAATTACTTTCAAACACCGTATACTAAATCATTTACTAGATTAAGAAACTGCTTTTCGGTCTGTGACCTGGGGATCCTGTTATGGGGGTTACTAGAAGGCTCAGAGGTGGGTAGAGAAGAGAAAAATGACCTTCTTGGTATCTTAAAGGATCTATTTGGATGACTAAAGCAGTATTTTCAGAGAATAATAATGATAATAGCTAGTATTTACATAGTACCTACTGTGTGCCAGGCATTGCGCTAAGCAGTTTACAAATATTATCTAATTTGATTTACACAATAACCCTGTGAGATAGCCATTATTATTATCCCCATTTTACAGTTGAGGAAATTGAGGCAAACAGAGGTTAAGTGACTTGACTAGAGTCACACAGCTGGTAACTAGCAGACACTGGACTTGAACTACAGTCTTCCTGACCCCACCAAACCACTTAGCTACCTCGATATCCAGATGTTCTCATCATCTTCAGAAGTTAACACATTTTAACACAGTTATCACTTAAACAGATTAGTCTGTTTGGGGGTTTTTTTATTAGCATTTTTAGTTAATTGGTAATTCTTGAAAAATGTGTAGGTGAGGTTCTCATTCATGAAACATGTAGACGGGAATGTAAAGCTGGTTCAGTCTCAGGAAAACTATGAGCATAATTGACCATATCAGTATTATGAAACGTGTATTTCTATGGAGATCTTAAATCTTTCTAATTTGTTGCAAATTTTTTCAACCAACAAGTAGTTACTGCATACCTATTGTATGAAAAATCAGTCATCTTCTTTAAAATTGGGGATATAATTTGCTTAGTAAAAATTCATTATATTGCTCATTAATATTTACCTTTTTAGGTGACTTTTTTAAAATAGGGAATAAGATATCTAACTCACTATTTTCCCACCATGTTCAATCAACAGACGTTTATTAAATACTTGTTACATGCCAAACATTGTGCCTGATGCTTATGTTCAAATGAATCATTACTTTCTTTGATTCAGGGTCCACTGCATCAGGAAGACCACAACCCACTCTTTCCTGTCCATTCTGTGAGGCTATTCCAGACCATTCCATAAGTTCATCACAAGGGCTCAATCCAACATGCTCAAGGCCTTCCTCCATCTTCCCTCATGACTAACCCATCTCTTCCTATCATACAAATCCTTGTGGATGTATTTTACTACTGTTCTTTGGAATTGTCATAATAATCATCATTATTTGTTGCATGCATACACATTTTGTACACATCATGTACTTTTCCATTACCTTCTGTGCAATAATCATTTTTAATTCTTTGGTAACTGTTATATTCTATACCTTGCTGCCATATAGCAACACTGTAGAATGTTGTGGGAAAAGATGGGCCTTTGGTTTCATAGGAAGCTTGAGATCAATGAAGGAGCTTTGTAATTTCCTGAAAACAGTCTGACCCTCTCTCCTCCTGAAGTTCAGCTCTGGGCCCAACTTGGTGTCCCGCTGTATATATTCTATACACACTGATGGACAAGCTCTACAGGTTATCTCTCCAGATGGATTGAAATCTGAACATTGTTCATTTGCTTGATCTTTTCTAAGTGAATGGCCAAGTCAAACTATTTTGAATGATTACAGATGCCTTATAAGAGACTGCATTGTTTGGGGGCTGGATGCATCTTCCTGACCCCAGGCCTGAAAGTCTATCCATTGTGCCACCTAGCTGCCCCGTAATACATAATATATACAAGATAAATATAAAACAAAGATGGAGTGATATGGGAGAGAGACACTAATTGCTAGAAAGATTAAGAAACGCCTCCCACAGGAGCTGGTTCTTGAACTATAGTTTGAATGAAATTAGGCATTCTAAGAGCCAGACATGAGGAATAATTTCATTCCAGGTATGATGGGCAGCCTGCTTGATTAAAAGCATAGAGATCAGAGGCAGAATGTTGTATGTGAAGAAGAAGAAAAAGACTATTTTATCTGTGTCACAGAATGGCAGAATTTCATTTTTGGGTTTGGGTTTGTTTTGTTTTTTTTAGCATTTTAAGCATTTGTTAGATTTAACAAATAATAATAATTCCCCTAATAATTTATTCTTACTCTTAAGGATTAATGCAGAATGTTTTCATTATGTTTGATCACTTTATATTTTATAGCTATAAAAATATGTATAATATTTTTAAAATTTATAATGAATTATAGTTTCTATAAATTTTTTACATTTATAACTACAATAAAGATTAAGCACAGTTCACAGTAATTGGTCATTGAGTGAAATCAACATATGATATAGCTTTGCACTTTAAACTATGTAGACCAGTGGTAATGTTTCAGCATTGGAAATGTTCAGTGCTAATATTAGAATCCAGAACAGTCAATCCATTTTTTGCTGCAGTTTCAGTGACATTTGTTTGGAAGCACATTCTTGCTGGAAATGTTTTTTATTCTTTTTTTTCTCCATTTTCCCGACAGGCCTCTTCTCTCAAAACATAAGGTAAGAAATTGTTTGTTTGGAAATAACCACAACAGAATATTGGTAGGAATATTTGTAGCATTGTACATGTGTAATAGATTTTTTTTGAAAAATATTAAGATCTTTTTCAAATCATTACAGCATTTTAACTTTAACTTAACAGTTACTAGAAAAGATCTTACTGTTTTGCAGATCTTAACTACTGAAAAGTCCTTGGAGGAGATAGGTTTTACACAGTTAATAGGAATTGGAGATTTGGAGGAAAGAGGAGCTACAGCCAAAAAGTCAGGTCTGTGTTTCTGATTTAATTGAAATTTCATGTTTTAATATTACTCTTGGTATCCTGCAAGTCTTCCATCTGTGCCACACATGGCAGAGTGGTGGGTTTTTTGTTTTTTTTTTTACTTTTATCTTTTTAGAGAAGCATATAGCTATCTTTTTTTTTATGGCTTCGTTTTTCTGCTTTTTTTTTGGTCACAAAATCTGAATTCTTAAAATATTTAAAATTAGTTTCTAAATGTAATAGAGTTATAGCCATATAAAGACTATTTTTACATGGATATCCTTCAAAAGTATAATTTTTCTCACCACTGTAAGCCTTTGGTGAAAGTTTTCTTACATGTGAAGTTACTTCTATAAAAGACCTTTAAAGAAATATGTTTGAGAACTCAAAAGTTTCATTTCATTGCATAGCTCATAGTTCACCAGTACTGTATAGACATCCTCAAGAAATTCAGATTATGCTACTTTAAATATATCTAGATTTAAATTACAATTTACTCAGTTGAGAAGCATAGTTTCTTTTGTAGAACAGATATATTTTGAATCTGTGATGAATCTATACCAGTAAATCTTTTAATGCAGAGGTGTCAAATTCTGGCTGACAGACCAAACTAGATTACAATGTAGTTGGGAAATGTTTAACAACAACAACAACAACAAAAAAAAAAAAACAACAGAACAACAAAAATGTTAATTTGTGGCCTGCAAGGATCCATTTCTATTCAGATTTAACACCACTGTTTTAAATAGTACCAGGAGCAAGTGGAAATGAATTCCTGTAGCCAAATCATCCTAGTCACTTTTTAAGAACAATATTGTCCAAGACCATGTTACTTAACTGTTTCATGTGAAAGGGGAACTAAAGGTTTAAAAAAAAAAGGGTGACTCTTTAGGTCTATAATTGTTGATATTTTAAGTTATAAAGAGAACGGAATACAAAGGTTAAAATGGAATTTAAAATAAATGTCTTTGGTATTCTGTAGATAGGATGATTCAGAAGCTACAATCTTCATTTTGTGGAGCATGCTAATCTTTTCAAAGTCCATTTTCCGTTCCCAGCAATGACATATGGCAGGACAAAAAGATGTGGTGCCAGAGCCTCAGCTGTCTATAAGAGGTGTTGTCTAAGGAAGATCACAGTATGTGATGTCTCCTTCCCCTTCACCCCTTTGCCATAGCTATGGAGAAGGTGGGACTTATCAAAGAAATCAATCAATTATATAACGACCTGTTTAAATATGAACTTCAGGTTATTTTTATCATTGGCTAGTAAATTCTACCTGATCCTTCCAAGTTCTTCCTTCCTGAGTCACTGCTTTGGAAGTACTCCAAAGAGGTGCTCACACTCAGGGTGTGAGGATCAGATCTGCATAAGGATTAAATGAGATGCTGTATGTAAAGTGCCTTGGCATCCTTGAAGTTCAATATATAAGTTAGCCATTATTATTATGAGTTAGTAAAGAAATTATACATAGAAAACCTCAAATTTCATTTCCTTAAATAACGTGTGGTTTACCAATATTGAATGGACTTCCCAAAAAAGTTCAGTTTATACCATTTTATTTATGCGTTTCCTTTCATTAAACAACTTGTATATATTTTCCATAAGTAATGAATTCATCATGGTTATTCAACTGCACTTTGCCCACTATCTCTAATGACCTGTTGTTTCTGCTTGTTTCCCCAGTGATATCCCCATTCCAAGTCTCTATCCACAGTATATAGTATAGTTCCTTCACATTGTGGGCAGTCACTGCATGTTTACTTAAACAATTATGTTCTTAAAATTTTTGGTTAACACCTTTTGAAGTGAAACATACATAAATTAGTCAAAATTTACGGTTATTTTTTAAACTGTTATAAATATATACTGTAGTGAATTCATTCCTATTTTGCTCATACTGAAAATTTTTCTTATTACAAAAAATACAATGAGATATTAGAAATTACTATTAAATTAAAACTAATAGGGGCAGCTAGGTGGCACAGTGGATAGAACACCAGCCCTGGAGTCAGGAGGACCTGAGTTCAAATTCAGCCTCAGACACTTGATACTTACCAGCTGTGTGACCCTTGGCAAGTCACTTAACCCCATTGCCTACCCCCCCAAAAATTAAAAGTAATAGTAACTCTTTTAAATTTGAATTAAAGTTGCATATTTATAAATGCAAGATTGTAACATGTCATCTGTAACAGAGGAGGTGTCATGATGAAGTGAGACAGGCCCTGGATTAAGAGTCCGAGGAGCTTGGCTTTGAGTCCCAGCTCTGCCATTTGTGACCTTTGTGACCTTGGACAAATCACTTGAACTCTCTAGGCCTCAGTTTCCACATCTGCAGAGTGAATAACCTCCAAGGTCCCTTCCAGCTCTACGACTATGGTTATGGCTTACAACTCAGTTAATATTAAAATTATAAGTTGTATTATTAACTTATAATTGAACAAGAATTTCTGCTACTATAAGTGAGTATACTTCAAGTTAGTTTTGCTATCTGAGTTTCAGTACACATTGAAATAGGCCTACATATGACAGTGTGAATGCAGGGAGACAGGGGGAGGTTAACATAAAATGCAAAGCACTTTACATGAATTATTTCATTTGATTGCCACAACAACCCTTTGTAAGTGTCCTTACTATTCCTACAGGTTAAGTGATTTACCCAAGATCACTCCGCCAGTGTCAGAGATAGGATTTGAAATCAAGAGGTCTTGTGGAGATCAAATCCAATATTTTACCCACTCTGCTAAGCTGCCTCATGTACCCTGAAAGAGAAATGGATTAACAATCAGAGTGCCTGGGTTCAAATCCACTAGCAAGTCAGTGCCTCTCCCAGAGCCTCAGTGTTCTCATCTTTACAATGAGATGGTTGGACTCAGTGATCTCCAAGACCCCTTCCAGATCTAAATCCAGAATCTGTTTAAAGATTGAGGCATTCAAACATACTTGTGAGATGCAAACATAGTTTGGTCTATTGATAGGTGCTAATGACCTGTGATATAAGCAGAACTTACTAGGTAAATAAGTGAATGATTAGCTTGTTTGCAGAGGGGAAAAATAGTTATTTGTTAACTAGTTGTTCCTGCTGTCAGAATCAGTTTGCCTTCATTTTCAAGTCCTGAGACAGACACATAAACAGCAGTGAAGCCAAAAACCCCAGTTTTTACTGAATGCTCGTGTTTGCAGAGTAAGTGCTGTGGAAGGTTACAGCAGAAAATAGGTTTGTTGTTTGCCCTGAAATAGCCTGTAAAAAGATTCCCATGACATGGTTATGTCTATAGTCTATAGGAAAAATGGGCATCTAAAAGCCCTTGAAACCTGGCTTATGTTTAATGTCACATTAAAAAAAAAAACCTGCGACTACAAAAGTGGTTAGTTAGAAATTTTGGTATATTTCCTCTATTTAAAATATTAAATATGCTGGCATCATATAAAATTACAGTAGATTTTGCAGAGAATAAGTGAATTCCATGCTATTTTTTTTAAGCATTCAAGGATGTAAGGGAGTGATCATTTCCGACTTACAAAGGCTACATATTAAGCAAGTATTAAGAACTATGAAATAGAGTAGGCAGTCACTTTAACTGGAAAAACCCAAGATAATTTACCCCTAACCTCTTTCCATTTCTGCTGGAAGTAGTAAAACCCTAATTGTAGCCTTGAAAATAATTTCCAAAAATGTGTTATTGTATCTTCACTAGTCTCCCTTCCACGCAATTTGATTTGTTACTCTGTTACTTAGGATTCAGTCAGAAGTCAGTAACACATATGGGTACTACTTCTTCTTTTCTTTAATAAGTCCCAAGTAATAAACTGCAGTCTGTGAGCACTGCTGACTGGAAATGACACAAACCAGCTATACATGATTCTTTACTTTCTTCCAATAATTCTCATCTTTGTCATTAACTTCTTCCCTTCTACTGCTAGCACTGTTGGCAATGTCATTGTGATACGACTTCTAACAGTGGTTAACCATGGTAACTTGAAGAAATGTCAGACCAGTAATCAGTTGTTATTATTCACTCAGAAATTTGGCTTCACTTGATAGTGGAAGTCACAAGTTTATTTTAAATGTTGAAGTCGTGAAACTGTAGCTGTGCTGCTTTTCTTACACAGATTATACTGTACCCTCTAACCACAGAAACAAGGGAACTTATCAGTTATCCTTGCCTTGAAAGGGCCAGGCATCCTGGTAGTACAGCAGCTTGTTTTAAATTTGACATTAGGGCACCGAAACCTCTCATTTTCCCAGGCAAATCTTTCAGTCACCCAAGATAACAGACCAGCCTTTTATTTCTGCTGTTGATTTATTGATATATGGATGAAATATCTTTTTCCCCCTAAGGAATTTAACACCTAGAATCTACTTAATTAGGGCCAGTTGTACTTCTTAGAAAGCTGCCAGTTCTGCTAGATGCCTCAGTGGATAGTGTTGGTCTCAGAGTCATGAAGACCTGAGTTCAAATTCAGACCCAGATGTTTACTAACTGTGTAAACCTGGGCAAGTAACTTAACTTTTGTGTGCCTCAGTTTTCTCAAAAATAAAATGGGGACCCTCTCACAAAGCTGTTGAGAGGGTCAAATAAGATAATATCTATAAAACAGTTTGCAAACCTGAAATTGCTATTTTTTTCCAGTCTGTTATAATCAATTTTTACCTGATAACCTTTCAGTCTATAGACATTTCCATGTTTTATATTTTGTGTATAGGCATACCTCAGACATATTGCAGTTTAGGTTCCAGACCACTACAATAAAGAGAATATGGAAATAAAGCGAGTCACACAGATTTTTTGGTTTCCCAGTGCTTATAAAAGTTACATTACACTAGACTGTAGTCTGTTAAGTGTATAATAGTATTAAGTCTAAAAATGTAATGTACATATCTTAATTAAAGAATTATTTATTACTAAAAAATTCTAACCAGCATCTGAACCTTCAGAGGGTTGGAATCTTTTTGCTGGTGGAGGGTCTTGGTTTGATGTTGATGGCTGCTGACTGATCAGGGTGGTGGGTACCGAAGCCAGAGATGGCGGTAGCAATTTCTTAAAATAAGACAACAATTAAGTTTACCATATTATTGGACTCTTCCTTTCACTTGAACACTTAGAGGCCATTGTAGGGTTATTAATGGGCCTAGTTTCACTATCATTGTGTTTCAAGGAATAGGAAGACCCAAAGAAAGCAAGGAAGGCAGAGAGATGGGGGAATGGCCAGTGGGTGGAGCAATCAGAACATATATCATATTCATTGCTGAAGTTTGCCATCTTATGTGGGTGCAGTTTGTGGTGCCCCAAAACAGTTACAGTAGTAACATCAAAGATCACTCATTATAGATCACCATAAAAGATAAGATAATAATGAAAACGTTTAAAATATTGTGACAATTACTAAAATGTAACACAGAGACACAATGCGAGCTCATGCTGTTGGAAAAATGGCACTGATAGACTTGCTCGATAGAGAGTTGCCACAAACCTTTGATTTGTTTTTTTAAAAAACACACAATATCTGCAAAGCTCAATAAAGGAAAGCACAATAAAATGACATATGCCTGCAATTGTACTAACAAATACATTTTTAATCTCTGTTGGTTTTTTCAGCTACCTCTTGCAGATTTCATATTTAAGTTTGAAATTAATATATAGCTAATACTGTTTAGCACCTTTGGCTCCATATCACGAACAGTTTCTTTGTTTTCTCTCTGCTAGAAAAGCAGTTCAATTACTGACACCTTTTCTCAACTAATACCTTTTCTACTAAAGAAAAAACAATTCATGATTAGAGTTCACGGATCTGTCCATTATCAGGTTTATGATCCCAACTTTCTAAAGACCACAACTAGTAGCTGACTAAACTCAACAATTATAGTATTATACATCATATTAAAGAATGTAAACTTAAATTGATTTTTACTTTTGAATCATCTTTTATGATTTTAAATACAGTAACTTTTTACTGAGAACCTACCATGTTTTCCATGATCATTTCTCTTTATATTTAGTAAAATGTAGGTAACTTTTGCCCTCTATGAGTCATACATTTTTCCCCCTCCAAATTTAAGCATATAAAAGATACCAGAGATTGTCTTCATATTGTTTCCAAATGAACAAATATAGTAGGAATATAAACAGTGCTAAATATGCCCTGCTGGTCGTGAACTTTGTTCTCTGGGGTCGTTGATTATAATGCTCCCTCTAAGGAGTTACTGCAGGAATCCACAAAAAAAAATTTGAATTGTACCTCAAGTGTACTACATGTTGGCTACTAATTAGTCAAATTATAGTATATATTCAGTCACTATTAACCTCAGCTATAATAAAGCCAGAAACTTGGTGTTTAAAATCTCTGTATTTTATAAATTATTTATGTCATCATCAACAGACATTTGCTTTGAATTGTTTTATTAAAAACTGAGCATGACGGTCTCTTGGGTAGGCATGCATATGAAGATGAACCTGGAAAACAGATAATGTAGCATATAATATAGTTTCCTTTCTGTCCTTTTCTCATAGCCATATAGTATTCCTTATTTTTTCTGCATATTTGAGCTTTCCAATGTCTCTAATATGATTTTTTTCATGTCCTAGTTGGAGAGCATATAATTTTTTAAATTTATCTTATAGTTCTTTGTTTTTCTTTTAATGAATCATAGGAGTTAGAGATAGAAGTAACCTTAAAGACCTAATCCAACTCCCTCATTTTACAGATGGGAAAACTGAGGCTCAAAAAAGTTAACTGACTTGCCCTGGGGGTATACGTAAGTGCCGGAACTGAGGTTTGGGACTCAGTCCTCTGATTCCAGATCAAGCACTTTCTACAATTTATTTTTGATGCCTTTTTGGAGAAAGAGAAGCACTATACATGGTGGGTAGAGTTGGATTTAAGGCCTGCCACCATTACAAACTGGCTTGACCTTGGGCAAGTCAATTAACCTGTCAGTATTCTAGGCCAGAGCTTCATAAACGTTTTCTACTCGTGACCCCTTCAGCACATCTAGGCAATTCTTGAAGAATATATAAGTTGCAGAGAAGGTTCTGATCTTCACTGGTAAAGGGATTTCCTCATCTGGAAATATGAGGAAATCTTTCTGTGTGTCAGTGAGATCACAGGTCCAGTCCCTATGTCCTGTCAGATGAAAGGGTGATGAGAACCTCCAACTCGGGACAGATTTCCACAGGCCTTCAGGGTGATACTGATGCCACAGTCCAGAGAATAATTTCCACCAAGATAGAGTTATCCCATAAAGAATGAAACTGTATGGATTAAAAATGTAAGAATCAGTTTAAAGAGCTATAAAGAGTTCTTAACTGATTATCCTACATTTCAGTGGATAGGAGTTAAGAGGTGATAACTGACAGCATTTCACAACCAGAGAGATTGTCGGAGTGACTCTTCCAAACCTAACAACCTGTTTTCTTTCCCTCACTAATCTTTTCCTCTTATCCTCTTCTGTCTCCCTGTTTCTCCCTCTCTATTCCTCTCATTCCTTCTGACTCTCCCTCTTTATTTCAGTACCTTTTCCCTCCCCTATTGTCTTTCTTTCTCCTTCCCTTTCTCTCTGCCTCATCATTTCTTTCTCATTTCCTTTGCTTTTATTTCTACTTATGTATGCTATTGTTTCCCTTTAATTTACTACTATAATTAAACTAAAATAATTGCAGCTAGTTTTGGGGGAGGGGCATAAATATCACAGTTTGGAGGGCAAGATCGGGAGAGAGAGTGGAAGGAAGATGAGCAGTCTTCTTGAGGAGGAAGGATGGAAGTCCCTGGTCCTGGAGGTAGTAGGATCATAGGATCATGTAGATCCAGAGATAAAAGGTACCTCGAGGCTAAATAGTCCAATCCTGTGTACCATAGTGTATAAAAAACTGGCTTAGTATCCAGGAAGACCTGGGTTTAAGTTCTGCCCCAAACAATAGACTTAGTGCCTGTGTAACCCTTGGTGAGTCACTTAACTTTTCAATGCCCACCATAAGCAACTCTCTAAGACTATAACTTGCAGAGAAGATGCCAACCTGTAGTGGAAGGAATTTCCTCATCTGGGTGTACCCTCCACAGGTCCAATCCCTACCCTGCCTCTTTAGAATGTCTTACATTTATTTTACATTCTGGAAAAAAAATTTTTTGATTGTCCAAAAAATAATTAGGCTTTTTGCTAAATTGCCTCTATGGTTACTTTAAAACTTTCTTCCAGAATATATATGTGTGTAATTGCAAAGAAATTAATTTCAAGATTATTATGCTTAAATAATTATGTATATTTTAAGTCAGTTCAGTTCAGCATCTATTAAGCCTCTTGTTATGGTCTTTCCCATTTCTGAATCATCAGCCTGACTTGTTAGAGCCCTCCATGTATTAAGGGCTATGGATAGTCTAGTAGTCTAGATAAAACATAGTGCTAGCCCCACCCCATGGAGTTTACAGTTTTCCAGAGGAATGTGATCTGCCCCGAGGATTATTACCAACCAGAATCAGGGAAGACTTCATGGAGGCAGTGGAAGGTTGACAGTTTGAGGGAGAGAGCCATCCAAGAAGTTGAAAAGAAGGGGTGTATGCGGAGGAATGGTAGTAGTCTGATTTAGCTGAATTGTAAGTGGACAGGGCAGGAAGTCATAGGCAAGAAAGGTAGATTGTGGAGAGCTTTGAATGACAAGGTAAGGATTTGAAACTGATTGGCAACGGGGAGCTGTTGAAAAGTTTTGAACAGAAGATTGACACGATCGTATATATGCTTAAGAAAAATTAATCTGACAGCAGTGTGAAGGATGGATTGCAGGCAGAAAAAAAATGAATACAGCAAGGCCAGTTAGTAAGCTATTAAAATAGTCCAGGCAGGGAGTAAACTCCAGTAGATAACAACAAATACAGATTGCTCTTTTTTGGGGGAGGAGGAAGGGGGGAGATATTTCATAATCATTAGAAATCTTGCTGGTATAGATCTTTATCTTTTATCCTAAAAAAACAAACAAACACATTTTTATGCCTCAAACTGATATTTTGTAATAATACACATTACCCTTCTAAACTTGAAAAATATTTTACAAATACAATCTCATTTGGTACTAAGTAAAAGTACAAAAAATGTCTTGGATATTTTTAAAATACTCTATTTCTGTTCAGTTCAATCTTTTCCAGTTATGTCTGACTCCATTTGGGGTTTTCTTAGCAGAGATACTGTATTGGTTTGCCATTTCCTTCTTCAGCTCATTTTACAGGTGAAGAAACTGAGGCAAGCAGGGTTTGGCTGGCTCAGGGTCCCACAGCTGTTAAATATCTGAGGCCAGATTTGAACTCAGAGAGATGAGTCTTCTCAACTTCAGGTCTAGCACTCTTTCTACTTCACCATGCCTTTTCATTAATACCTTTTAAAATGGTTTTGAATGAAATATACTTAGTTCTATTTGCAAATACGTTGATTAGGAAATAATTAAGTGTATCTCCTGCTTACTCTTACCTTGTTACTCTTACCTTAAGTTGAATACTCTTGCAATAGATTCCACCTCGAAATGTTCTTTCTCATCTTTATTCACTTACAAAGTCGTTTTTCAAATTGAAAGGTTTTTTTTTTTAATCTTTAGAGAGCAAAACTTGGACTGGCATTGAATCAAGGAAAGAAAACCAGCATAAAAAGGAAGAGAAAAGCGAGAGGAGTCTGTCCAGTAATCAGAGTGATAAGCTGATGGAGGCAGTCAGTCCTTCAGTAAGTGCCAGCAAAGACCACATGGAGGAGCAGCAGTGCAGGGCTGAATCAACATCGGAGTCACACACCCAGCCCTCAGAGACAGTGGGCAGCGGGCCTGGCTCTGATTCTTCTGAGAATCCGAGTAAGGAGGACAGCTGCTTACTGCTGGGTGAGGCAGAAATCTGTGAGGATGTAGCCAAAAGAGAGGGAATTGCTGACAGACCTAAGGTGCTGATTTCTGATAGATCAATGGTAGATCCCTTGATTTTATCAAGCAGTGAACATATACCTCTTTCTCTGAATCCTGAAGATGAAAATTTACAGGCTGAAGGAAATGGACTCCTCCAGCAGCCCCAGGATGCTCCTGATGTGACTGCGAGAGAAGAACTTGAAAACAATGCATTAAATCAGCAGCAACCCGATCTTACAGACAGTGATGGAAAATTACCACCAGAAAATGTGCATGGTGAAGATAACAGAACATCTGACTTGGAGGATCCAGAACTACGTATAGCACCAGAGGAATGGAGAGAAGAGGAGGAGGAAGAGGAGGAGGAGGAGGAGGAGGAAGTCAGTAAAGAAACAGAAGATTACTTGAACAAGCTTTTAGAAGGATGCCTACAAGACACTGGGCCTTGTCCTCCATATGAAGAAAATCAGGAAGACTCTGACACCCTTCCAGATCTTTCACCTGAAGAAGCATCTTACAGTCTACAGGAGCCTTATGATGAGAGCTGCCTTTCTCTTGATGATCTTGCAAAAAGGATAGAGATCGCAGAGGTAAATCCGAGAGATTTAATACCAAAGATCAGCGTTAGAAATAAATAATACTTTAAGATGAATTTATTTATACACATATATGCACACATTTTAAAATGGAATGTTAATTTTTGATGTTAATTTTAATTTAGGATGTTAATTTTTGGGTGGTGGGGGCAATTTACCACTTGTCCTGGACACAAGAGAGAACCTTAACTTAATTTCAGTTATTAGGACTTAAATCTTAATTACATAAATCTATTGACAAGTATCTATTAAGTGCCTACTATGTGCCCCACATATATGCCATAAATTGTTTTTAGTAATGATTTTTTGAAATTCATGAAATATCTGCTTACAGGTCTCTGGATACAGTTAAGTCATACTTACTAATTACTAGCAAAGACCTTTAATAAATGTAACTTGTATGTAGCAGTAAAAGAAAGTTGAGCACATAAGAATTATTGTCCAAGTAGAACTTTTAGTTATGTCATTTCATTGAAGTTTTTTCTTTCTTTTTCATGTAGAATATAAAATTTAGTATATTCCACTTTTTAATCTTAATTTTTAAAAAATTTTAATCTTCATAGAGAATAACAAAAGTAATTTAAAATATTAAAGCAGCCTAGGAATAAGTTTTTATTCTGATCTTAATAAATATAGGGTTTTGAGGACAAGCCTAGTAGTGCTCACTGACTGACAAAAGATGGGCTACCTACTCCAGTAGCACAAATGTTATAAGTAATTCAAATCCAGATTTTTTTCTAAAGAAATCAAAACCATCTTAAGTAAAACAAGTTCAAACAAAAAATAACAATTTTTTAGAGAAAGTGATTTTGTTGTTTCCTGTAGTTTAGTGGAATAATAGCCAAACCCACAGGGAGGGCCTTTTTTTTTTCCCTAAGTCATTGTTAAGTTTCATTCTTACCTTTTGATTCTGTGCTTGTTTTATCTACAATTGATCATGATAGAATTCTAGATTAAATCATAATCCTACTCTACCAAGTATATTCAGTAAGCCAAAATTAAAGGCAAACAAATAATTACATGGATATAAAACTGTTTGAAATGTTTTTTTTTCAAGATTCCAGTAACATTTAAAACCTTAATTGCTTCTAAAGTAGGACATCAGCTTTTTTTTTTTTTTTTTTTTTTTTTAAAAGTTGATTTCTTTTTTTTTTTTTTTTTTTTTTTTTTGTTCTTAGTTTCCTTCATTTCCTATTTATGGTTGATTTTCCAGGAATAATTTTCCTTTTAAGTTTTTCTTGACATAATTAAGCAGAGTAAATGATAAAGTATTTTGATATTCTTCACTTTCATTTATTTTTGTCTCTGTGCAAACCGGTGTAAATTCGTTGAAGCAAATCCCTAAATCACCTTCCCTGGAATGGGAAAGGTATTAACCACAGATCCACAAGGAAGAAATGAAAATTTAAGCTGAATGGAAGCAGTCCATGAAGTCATGCTGTCTGTACAGCCATCATGGGTGGAGAGTAAGAAAGAGTGCTAAGTGTGAGGCAGGGTGCCCAGGGTGGGGCAGAGAATGACCAAAGGTGTCTTGTAAACCCATTTAAATATGTTTATCAATGCAGATTGCTCTCATTATACCAGAGTAGTAAGCTCTTCACAGTGTGACTTACAGATGTAGAATCTTAGAGCTAAAGAGACCCATGGGGTCACCTGATCTTCCAGCCTCCTTTTACAGAAGAGGGAGTGGAAGCATCAAGAGACAAAGTGTAAAGAACTGGGATTAGAGACTGACTGGATTGTCGTCCCAGCCCTGTCACTAACCAGCTGTTTTAGACCAAAAACACCACGTAGGGTATGCTAATTTATCTTATTCAGCAGAAGCAGCGTATTAAATATCTTCTATGTCTAGAGCACTGTGCTCAGACACTGGGGAAGAGAGGAAATTTAGAGGACACCAACTATTTTGTCGTACCAATTAATTTAATTTTTGAGTTGGCCTTTTTGTGTGAAACCACCTCTTATACATTAGCCAAATTAATATCAACCCTCTAGCTGTAAATTCTAAGAGTCTCTGAGCTAAAATTCAAATTCTGACAGATTTTTTTTCCTATGAAAAAAGTGACTTCTTCTATGACTTTTTTTTTCCCTTTATAAGTTGCCTTGCTTATTTATTTATTTTTTTTTTGAATTGAATGCAGCCAGTGGCTCAGTGGATAGAGTACTGGGCTTGAAGTCTGGCCTCAGATACTTATTAGCTGTATGAGCTTGGGCAAGTAATTTAACAGTTGTCTTCCTCAGTTTCCTCGTCTGTAAAATGGGGATAATAATAGCACCTACCTCACAGGTGATCCTCTGCATCACCAAGCTGACCCTAAAGTGAAAGCTTACTCTTGGAGCCTAGAGTCCAAGGATCAGAGCCCAGGTTCTGGTGGAAAGTGGATGAGGAAGATGGCCAGAGTGTAGTTGACATGGTTTGAAAATAACCAGGAAGTGGATCACCTGTAGGCCTTTCCTTAGGGATGCACTGGGACTGCAGTCAAGGGTTATGGTGTTTTCTAGCCAGCTCGGCTTAGCAGTCCACCTTGGAATGATGGGAGTCAGTTTACTCAAAGAGAACAGTCTCTGATAACACAATAATTCAGATATAGCCCAGGCTCCCTGTCTTTGGAAAGGAGCTAAGATTTTGTCCTTTCCCTCTTCAGCAGGGGTTCTTAACTTGGGGTCCATGACCTTTTTTTTTTATGCTTCAATAATTATATTTTAATGTAATTGATTTCTTCTATAATCCTATTTATTTTATGCATTTTAAAACATTCTGAGAAGAAATCCATAGGCTTCATTCAACAGACTTCTGGAGGGGTCCATGACAAAAAAAATAGTTAAGAAGCCCTGCTCTAGGCATGTTTGAGAACCCTTAGCTATGTCTTCCTCTTTATGGGCCATCTGATTCCTTCCCTAAAGACAGCAGCCACATTGATCTTCTACCACTCCCTGTTTGACAAATATATACCCCTTAATGTTATTAGGCATTTTTTTGTGGATCTGAATTTTAACTTTTAAATTGCGGAACAGTAGCTTTACGCATTAGTAGAAGGGGTTTACTCACCAGGAGCTGCCTACACAGATGAACTTACAGATGTGGGAAAAGTAGATAAATATTTCTCAAGTTGCAGTAGTGCACCCCAGAGCTACACACCCAGATAGGGCCAGAAAACTGTTTGTTGCTGTTGATTGTCAAAGTCTGACTTTCAATGGATTTGCATAAACAAGTCTATCGAGGCAAATTGAAGGAAAGTAGGCCTTTTTTTTTTCCATTTACTAATATGAAACAAAAATGTGCAGTCTTAGAGTGGGTTTTGTTTCTTTTTAAAAATTATGTTCCTTAAATAGGTCTATGCTTTTCTTGGTTTTAATATAACTGCTGACAAATGGATCCGCCCACCTAAGTTGACGCGAATTGTACATTAAAAAGAAGCAGTACAATGTCCTGTCCCTGTCATCATTTCATTACCGTTTAGGATGATGTCAGCATTCATTCTTTAAGCCAGCAAGCCTCATTATAGGGGAGGGGGAGGGGGACAGCCAGCAGGTGCTTATTAATCAAGAAACATGCAATTCCATCTCTTGAAAAAAACCATAGACTTTATAATTAATATTTCACCCAAATTATCCTTCCTTTTGAGATTACCAACACTGAATCCGTTTTGTTTTTGTTTTTTATTCTCATTTCTTGCTGATTGCATGTTCCACTCTATTGGATTTAGTTTTGCAGTCTCTAAGATTAATGCAGTATCCTGCCTGGCAAATATTTTTGCTGAATAGGATTAGAAATATAGAACTGAAAGGAATCTTAGAGGTCATCTAGTCCTACTCCCCTGGATGATGAGACTGAAACCCAGCAAAATTAAGAGACTTGACCAAGGCCACTCAAGTACTAAGTGTCAAGAGGGATTTGAACTCAGGTCCTTTGACTGTAGCAATAATGTTCTTTCTTCTATGATTTCCTGCCTCCCGATCAGTCATTTTATTGCCATTTTAAATATAGGGGAACCAGGGTTCAGAACGTTTAAATCATTTGCCCCTGTTCACACACTCAGTCAGAGACAGGCTATGATCCTAGGTTTTCCTAATTCCAGGTGTCCCATTCTATCTCCTCTGCCATGGGGTCTCTATATAACTGGCCTTTTTATCCTCTGCAGGATTCATTAAATTCATTCATGTCAACAGTATCAGATGTCAATTTGCATGTAGCTCCATCTTTAGTATCATATATGTGTGTCTGTGTGTGTGTAATGTACATCCAAGTTTTACAGTTTTCCTCAGTAGTATCCAATGCATTTTCCATATATCAAGCCTACTCTCCTAGTTTTATATTAACTGATACACATTTCTAAGCCAAATGTCAGATTTCTAAAAATGGGATCCATTGTTTAATATTTCCTAATTGTGGTAGAATGCAGAATAGTGTTATTGTAGAGTTAGAAATCACTTCCAAAAATGCTTTTGAGGAAGAAAATTGGATTGATATCTTGTAATTTACTTCAGTAAACCTTTGTTACATGCTGATTGCTGTGTATGATATGCTTGGTTTGAGAGAAATTCCAAAAGACATTTGATAAAGTCTCTTGTGGGATAATAAGGTAGATGCCTACTGGATGATAATTTAGGTGGATTGAGAACTGGTTGAGTGACTAGACCCAAAAAGTGCTTATCAGTGGATCACTGTCAATTTAGAGGGAGGTCTCTAGTGCAGTGCCCCCAAGGATCTGTCCTTAAGCTTGTGCTGTAAAAAACATTTTTTATTAATGATTTGGATAACAGAATAGGTGTCATATTTATCAACTTATACAAGAGACATGAGGGAATTAAACTGATTCTGTTTAATTTATGTAGATTCTATTCTGTAATTGATCCTGTTCTGTATAACTGCTCCATTTTGTATGATTGTTCAAGCCACATTCCTCTGTCTCTTTGCCTGTGAGCTAAGTTTAGGAGTTCAGTTCTGCTAATCACTTCTATTCTTACCTCAAGAAAATCTCTTATGCGTGAGG